TGCAACAGGAGGCATATATGTACAACCATTTCAAAGTTTCGGCGAAGCACATTTTTCTTTTGCAAAGTACGTTGTTTCTTTGTTTTTAAAATTTATTTTTTAATAGTAATAGAATAATATTTATATGGAGTATATAGGCAGAATCTTCAATTAATTACGGTACAAGACACAATGAATCCAATTTCATTGTACAATCCACATACCGTAACTTTGCAACACGAACTTCCAGAAGAAGATTTGACGCAAGGTAGAGGAATATTCGATAAGGATACTATTTTTAAAGTTGTAAGAGTTATATTTTATTTTAATCTAATTTAAAATTTTTTTGTTATCTATTTCTCAATTTCTACAATAAACAAAAATATTACACTTTTACAGATAGGAAATTTATTAGATCGATTAAGCCAAAGACTTGAAACTCCTGGTTTGGATACAGAAACAGATAATCTACATAATACAACTATTTCTATTCTTCTCTATTATCTTGGAATGTTAGATCGTACAGACTTAGAAATTGCATACAATAATACTTCAGGAACTAGTTACAAAGAAGAAACAATACGGTATAAAAATAATATATTTATTATTTTATATTTGATTTGTGTGTATACATAGAATGAAATAACTGTAATTATTTCAATAATTGTAGAAATATGTTTCTGGAAACACTTCCACAAATTGGAAGTAAAGAATCTGCTTTGTTTATATTCGATTTAATTCAAAACAGTAAAGTATCAGATATAACAGCGATACAGCTCTTAACTCAATTACCATTTCATATTCGGAAACCAGACGTACAATTATTAGTCAGTTTACAACCACTTCTAAGTTTATCAAGAAAAATTTCTACAGAAATTCAGAATACAGCGATTCTTTCGTACGGCACATTGATTTATAAAACATGTTTTGTGTCTTGCCCAACCGAAATGCTTGAAGATTATGTACGTCTCTATCTTGATAAATTCACAGGTATACTGATAAAAAGTTTTTAAAATTTAAATCTAAAGAATATAATGTCATATTAATATTGAAATATTTTCTAGAATGTACTGATTATGAAAAAAAGATGATATGGTTAGAAGGTTTGGCAAATATACAATTAGGAAGAGTAGTTGAATTTTTGGAACCTATTGCAAGTGGGAATAATGCAGAATCACGTCATTTTCGTGTACTTGCAGCTTGGGCATCTCTTCCATCTGCACCTTTCAGACCAGAGATTGTAAGAGAAAATCTACATATATTTAATTTTATTATTGAAATACTAATAATTATGTGGAGAGTTTTATTATATATCTTTTTATGTATAGATATATCCTGTATACTGGCCGATGTTGGTAAATAAAACGGAGCATTTAGAAATGAGAATAGCTGCATTGACATTATTAATTGTTTCTAATCCAACACCAAGTAGATTAATATCGTTGTATTGGTATATGCAAACTGAGCCAAATAAGCATTTATATAATTATTTTTATACAACTCTAAAATCTATGGAGCAGACAACATATCCTTGTTATCTTCACATGTAAATAAAAATTATTTTTATATTTAATGTATATTTTTTATATGTATATATATATAGATAAGTTGTAATTATTTTCTCTTTTAAGGGGAAGTATAGCAGCTCAATTTACACGTGTACTTCGTAAACCATCTAATGATGAACTGTTACTTACCGGTAATTATTTGTTTGACTACAAAGATTCATATAGAAAGTTTGGAGCCATGATTCATGGCATTGTTATAGCAAATCCTGCTACAAATATACCGGAAGCAATGCATGTTACTTTAAGTAATTATGGAAGTGGTACTACATTAAATCATGTATCTGTGAGTATAACATTTAGTTATATTTTTAATATACATCAATATCGTATATATTAATTATTGATTATACTCTATGATATGCATATTATTTATAGTTGTACATAAAAGCTGAAGGTCTACTGCATTCCTTATCAACTTATCTTGAAAATCCAACACTAGTTAAAGATGTACTGGGTCGTTATAAATTAGATCAGAAAGAAACTGCGCCAATACATTTAGAAATAATTGCACGAGTTCAACAGAAGACTGTTTTATGTTTACATTTAAATCAAATGAATATTGCAAAAATAGTTAAATGTCAGTATATTATGTTTAATTAATAGTTACATTTATATTTAATAATAACTTTGAATAATTTCTATTTGTAATTAATAAGAAAAACAAATCTAATATTGAAGAAATATTATTTTCTAGATTTAGCTTCGTTGCCAGATAATATATATCAAATTTATCAAAATACAGAATTTCATATTAATCAACAACGAATCAATATTCCAATAACTATGGAATCAATACAAGTATCTGATATGGGTACAAGTGTAAGACTTGCCATGACAGCAACGTCTTTATTTTCAATGAGAGGAAATTTTATCCATTCGGATATTGGACGTAATAATCATGTTATATTAAGGTATACACTTGCTTGGTAGTGTTAAAACTTTACAAAAATGATTCTTATTTTAATGTATATTCTTAGAACATCTATTCATGGAAGTGAAACAATTTCAAACTATAATCCGCTGGTTGATTTGTGGCACGCAGCAGAAAGAGCACAATCTATCCACGGATATCTTCCTATCAATGTTACAATTGGATTAAACGAGAGACCATTTATCACATATTATACACCAGGAGGTATGTTTATATTTTAATTTTTAAACATTGAAGATATACAATAATTCTATTTGTATTTGCAGAAGATTTTAAAATGGGAATTACTGCTCATGTAAGAACAGTTACCAACATAAGAGGATTTAATGCTCAAAACAAGTTGAAACCTATTTGTCCTAATTGTCCAATATCGTATACAGTTAGGAAAGCATTACCAATAAATAAATTAAAGGTAAATTCTTATTCAATTCACTCTATAACATTTAATATTGAAATAAAAAATAATTAAATTAAATGAAAATATATTTTTATCTAGCCAATAAATTTATTGGAACTTGAGTTTCCTGCATTGGGAGGAAAAATATTTACAAAACTTTTTGATTGCGAAAATGCAATATCACGAGAAAGAGTAATAAGTGATATATTATCGTCTCACCAAGCTAATTACCAGTAAGTTTTACGTTATTTATGTTCAAATTTTGATTGTTTATATTATATATTACTTATATAAGCGTTTTATATTTATTTCGTATTATTTAAGAATTTGGCCAGGCATGGAAGTAGTTTTGGCGGCGGTGCATTTTTTAGATTATTTTACATATGTACCACCAAAAGGTAGTTGCGGATTAACTTTTTATGTAGGACCATCTGATACATTTATGCAAACTCAAGTTGGTAGAAAATATATTATATTTTTCATGTATAGTAATTGATTTATTCATATAAAAATATTATTTTAATATTATTTGTTAGATAAAACTTGAATATGTGAAAAATAAAAAACATCACATGTTATCTTTGACTAATCGTGAACTTCATTTTCAACGTATTTTGTATCAATGGAATTTAGCTGCTGTTTATGATATGACCAGCTGGATTTCAGACAGTCTTAAAATCAAAGCAACTCAAATTACACCTGATGGAAAAATAGTAAAGGTAATTGCAAAATGTATGCATGTATTATTTGAATAGTTTGAACGTACAAATTTATTTTTTCAATATATCTTTTTCAGTTTTGTATTGAAGCTGATAGAGAAATGGACTGGGAATGGGACTTTTTAAATGTTAATCCTGCTTCCCCTTCTAAACTACAATTAGTTCTTGTTTGGGGACCATCTAATAGCGCTAAAGGTAAATGTAGTGGTACGTCAATATTATTCAATGTAATTGGCGAAGTTAGTAAAGGACAAATTGAAGAAAGTCAAAAAGAAAAATGGCCGTATGATCAGTGCCGTAAGGATTTGGAAAAAAATAATTTTGTACCATACACTGATACTTGTTATGAAACTTCAAAAGAATTATCAATTTTAAGGAAGTATCAAATTTTTCTTAAATATGAAAGTGTAAGTAGATATACAAATGCATTTGTATTGTATTATGTATTGTAATTATTCGTAATGTATATATGTTATTAATTATTTTTTTCTCTTTATTACATTTAACGATATTATTAATAGTTACCAGAGCCTTTGTCCAAAATCGTTTCGAAGTTAAGAGTTACATATGATCTACTTGGTGGAAATAGTCATTATACCAATAATTCTGGACAATTTTTTTTAAGTGCAGTCTTTCCTAAAGAATCTGACAGTAGTGTACTGGAATTAGATTCAGACAAAGTGACTATACAATATGATTCTAATTTCATAAACAATTTTTTAATACGAACACGGATCCATAAATATATAGACAGTGTTCTTTTTCATTCATTTTTTAGTAAGTTGTTTGAATATGTTTATTTGTTAACTATGATATTTATTCTTTCTTTTCAGGCATTATAAAATAAAACTCTAAATATTTTTTTACCATCAATAGGCACATGTACTATAGAACCAAATATTGTACGATCAATTTACAATACCACAATTTTATTTAACTATAGCAAAAATATTTTATTACTTGGTCAATGTTACGATGATAATCCAAGATTTGCTCTTAGAGCTTTAAGAACGAACAATAATTTAATAAATATACTTATTACCGATGAGACAGGTACAATAAAGATAGTTCAACATTTAAATGGCGGACATATATATAATGCTACATCATACGTACCGTTAGAAAAGTATACATATCAAAATTTTGGACCTAAATGGTATGCAACTTTTATTAATAAGTATTATAATAATGTAACTGATTTCACATACATATCTATAAATGTTAACAGTAAAATAATAATAATAAGAAGAAATTATTAATGTTACAGGATAAAATTGCACGATCAGTCTGTTGATATATTATTTCCTAATATTCTTTTATATATGCATTGGACGAAACAACAAGTTGTCCTTTTTTTCCCAACTTATTTAACTGAATTCAGTTGTGGTATGTGTACAGTTAATAGCCTTGTTACAAGTCATATATATGAAGAATTATAAAGTGTAATATATTATTTTATTTTATTTATATAGAAGGTAATATTTGATATTATATAAATACAAGAATGTTATAAATTTCTCTTACAATTAGTATTCTAATGTAAATATTATGATGTATGTTTAATATTAAAGTACACATAGCAGGATGTGGCACAATCATCTTATATTATTCAATTATATTAAGTATATTCTTAAGATTAAATTTAAATGAAAGTTTGCTAATATTACATCATCATTATGCAATATAACATTTTTCATATTTTCATTGATAATTCGATATATATATCTATTACATCACAACTAATATTTTTTAAGGCATGTATCCAAATGCTCGTTCATAATATTTTCTGTAAATAATTCCATGCAGACAGGACAAGGATAACTTCGATCTGTTGCACGAGCATCTTCAGAATTGCTATTGTCATTATCATTATCAGAGAATGATATAGATTCATCATTAAACATTGTACCGATACATTCTTCTAAATGATCATTCAATGACATGGTAGATGGAATAATTGTGTTGCAAATTAAACATTTGTGATTTTCATGCATGATATTAGGTTTTTTGTTTAGTTTTATATCAGGACTATCATCAATAAATATACTATTAGGTGATTCACAATCTGAAGAACTATCAATAACTATTATATTATCCGATGAATTTGACGAACATTGCTCTGGGAAACATACGTCAAAATGATTATAAATATCTGTAGTCTTAAATCTCTTATGACATATTGGACAATCTGTGGATTCAGATTCATGAGAATTTTCAACTTTTTGTCGTTTCGTTGATGATTTACGCATTACATTACTTCGTTTAGGAGTAGTAAATATGGTATCTTTAATTGGGGAAGTATCCATCTGACTATTAACATCAGAATACGGTGGAGTATCTTTTATATTATATGATTTTTGTTTATCTTCATTTTCCAAACACGAGTCTACATGATCGTTAATAATATTAACAGAAACAGTAACATTACATACAGGACAATTAACAGAGTCATTTGCATTCTGATTTAAAGTATTATTTTGATTTTTACTTGTGTTTTCTTGAACAGATTTTAAAACTGTATTATTTGTACTACCATACGATGGAGTATTTGTACTACCATACGATGAAGTATTTTTTGATGATAATATTTGCTGCTCATTATTATTTTTTATAAAAAATTTATTTAATAAATTACTTTTGCCAGTATTAGAGCCACCTATTTGTCCCGAACAAGAAAATTTAGGCGTATAATTTTTATTAACTACTTTAGGAACCGACGAACTGTTCGGCCCTCCTACACCCCATCCATGAATATTATTTGTATTATTACCAAGTTTCTTTAGTATGCCTCCTAGTTGCCTTGGATCAGAAGATTTAGGTATAGGATTTTCTTTAACTACTTTAGAAGTAGATGAATTTTTCGGTCCTCCTACATCCCAGCCATGAATATTATTCATATTATTACCAAGTTTCTTTGGAGTGTCATCTAATAATTTATTATTTATTTTTGCGTTAAGAGGACTACCGACGCTTTTAGGCATATTTTTATTCTTATTATTTCCTGATTTAAATATTTTTGATATAGGTGTAATTTGTGATGTAGATATATTGTTAGATTTATGTTGTTTAGATGAATTATCATTGTTTATTAACCAATCAGTTATACTATTTTCTTTCTGAGTATTTTTTGTTATAGCTTTCAATTTTGGATTATTCATTGTATTCTTAGTTTTAAAATTTTCCGGTTCTTTGATTTTTATAAACTTCCCACCACAACTTTGTTGATGATCTCTCCACCAAAAATCTGATGGACCTGGTGCACGATTCATCGCTCTACGTACAGTTCCAAAATATGGAGCCTTTTTATGGCAAGGTCCATCGCATCTCCACCAATGTTGTTGATACAATTTAACTTCGTCGTGAAAAGTATGATATATCTAAAGACATATAATATCTTTTTATTATTTTAATCTATGTAATTATTTATTCGTTAACATTTACATACTGTTATGTTCGTTCCAGCTTCTTTATTAATTCGATGCATATGTTTGCAAAACTCTGGTCCATGCCCATCTCTATCACGATTATTATTTGTCAAGAACAAATAACCATGAATCATTTCATGCTAAAATGATAAAAATACTTTTTATTATTTCATATGATTCATAAAAAATGAAAAAGAAACTATAAACATTACCAGTAATGTCTCAACAAGGTCTTTACGTGGTCTGAGCTTTAGCAGTGGAACACTGAGAGAAATGATACATTGTTTATTTCTCGAATGATAAGAACATATTCCTGCACAGCTGTAATAAATAATATTTATATAGACATATACACTTTAATTATATTTACAAAAATATATATTGTCGTTATTACTCTTCCTTTTTACGATATCTTTTCAAGACAATCCACGTTTCTACAGTGGCTATTTTGCTGACTTTCTTAATTCAACAACACACGGTATTCTAAAGTGGTCATCCATTCAAGTACTAGCTGTACCCATCTTTGCCTTATTTTAATGATCGTATGGGAACTAGTTTTTTCAATGAAACGAGATTGTTGCCGATAATTACAAAAATAACAAATAACATTGATACCTTGTCATCCTGTTACTCCATTTGACCTCAACAGGTAATAGAACATTCCAGAAGAAACGTGTATTAAATTGCATAAATAATGTATAAATATTAGGAGTTGGATCTATTATTTCTAACGTTTCATCCACTAACGTTTTTGGTTTGTAAGATTTGTTTTTTTGCTGTAATTAATAACAATAATAAATAATATTAACACATTTATTATTTAATGAAAACAAAGAAAACGAGAGAGAAAAAGAGAGAGATTTGATACAACAAAGCAAAAAAAACTTACGTCATCTGGAATAATTGCATTTTCTGTAACACCAACAATATTAGGTTCGTCGTGTAAATTTAATGCTAATTTAAAGTCACGATTCCTTTGTGAATTCATATTTTAATAATCTTTCCTTCAAGGATTTATACTCGAACTGACTTGAAATAACCACATCTTATAAAATACCATTCATATATTTTGAATATTCTACTTTATTTAAATCTTTAGATATTTTAATTGGCCGTTATATCATTCATATAACCTTATAGTGCACGGAAGATTGTGTTAGCAAAACGTTCAAAATACATACGGATGTGTTATTGTGATTGATATTTAAATACTAATTAGAAACATATTGTAATTAGCATAAGTCATTTATATTTTTCTAAAACTTAATTATATTAATAGTTCATTTTCTTTTCTTCTTTTTGTAAAATGTAATAAATTTTGTATTTTGTCGTAATAATAATCCCTTGATTATTTCTACATAGGATAATTATATATATTTTATGTGTTTTTATAAAAAATATACTTTTATTTCAATTGTTAGAAATAAACTTAGCGATATATTTAATTACCAATCATAATACGCAGATAGTCAAAATTATGGGTATGTATGTACGTATGTAAACAGAGGTTATATGAGATTTGAATTTTCGCGGATTTCCCGCTGTAGCCAACTTCAAGAATATCAAACCGGAAACAACTAGTTCGTGACGCAGTGGCGTAATCTTTTGCGGCCTGTCTGTTACTTTGCAATTCGTTCAGACAAACGGGCTCGTAAAATGGCGAAATTTAGTTGTTATTTACTTACGTGGTATATAACGAGAAAACTTTAAGACGAATTAAATATATTCGTAATTATTAGATTAATCAAACTAGTGCGCTATATTCATCGTATACAGCCAATTTGTGAGTATTATTTTAAAACGTTTATTAATAAATATTTCAATTCGTGAACGCACTGATGAAAACCGTTCATGCACCGAATTCTCTAATCCATACCTTTTGCTCTTAGTTAATATCGATAACGCCGCTAGATCGATTAATATAATGTCTAGCATCTTCTTTACCGTTACTTTTTATTAATTGAATTGTTTATAACGTTACATTTTTACGTTAAGGTTATGAAAAGAAAAGATTGTTCTTTTTTTCTTCAAATATCATGATCATATACACATTAGATTAAAATTCATTAATTATTATTTGTATACTTAACAATTATATTGTTTGCTTTATTCTTAACATTATACAGGATCGAATTTCGTTTAGTATCATACGCGTGATATGCGTACGAGTTTCTCAAGATCGATTCTTTTCCTTTAACTTTTAGGTTATGATTCGGATGATATATTTCATAGGACGGTCACTTTTATCAGGCAAGATTTATACGTTCTACTAATTTCATTAATTATTAAAAACAATATTAATAAATATAAATTAAGATAAATTAATAGTAAATATAAACTTAATATATATAAATAAACTAAAGTATAATTATAAAAATAATTATTTTTCTTCAACATTCGTTATTTTCATTAATTAAATTACGAACACATGGATCTTTACGCGAGATCTTATACACGAGATCTTATACACGTTTTTGTTTTTTCAAATTTTAAATTATATATTTATATGTCTCTGTATTGTACACAAACAATTAAAATATTATAAGGCGATTAGAAAATTATATTCTTTTGTCATTTGTCATGATAATTTAATTATTTAGATTATTTTTCTATTTGATTTACAAATCATTAACATACGAAAATAAAAGTAGAATGTTAACCGATGTATATGATCATGAGATAAAAATATTATGTAAAATTTCTTATTTAAATAGAAACACTGTTTTCAAAGTATTAAAGTATATAATGTGAATTTAATACTTAATGCGAAATAAAAAAATCAGTCTAGTTTTTGATATATTATTTCATTTAATAATCATATAATATTATTTACACATATTTAATTATAAGAATATAATAGAGATTAATTACATTTATGAACTATTCTGGTTTTCTAATACGATATATTGCAACAAATACTTATCCCATAGCATAGGAATAATCACTACATAACTATTTTCTAACTCATACAGTACAAAATTTATTCATGATAAATTTTTTAGGTATTTAAATCTTTGATGCACATGTTGTACAAACATTCAATATATAATATGAAATTAAATTTGATTATTATTTAATTTTATATTATTTGATATGCCAATTAAAATATGTTTTTATTAGTATTAGTATTTATTACTTATTATTTATTTTATAGCAACAGTATTTAGTATAATCAAAATATTGATATACTAGATATACTATACAATTGTATTAATGAAATTATTATGTCCTACTCATAGTTTAAAAAAAGTATTTTTTAAGTTAATAGTAATATTGCGTTATAAGCAGTATTATTTTCAAATGATAATCATCAAGGAATAATAGCAATTTGTGAAAACAATAAATTCATACATAATCTTTTGCTGCTTGATATTACAAAAACTCTTATGTATATGCTTCTGTGCTAAGTTATGCCTATTATGTAACTACTACGTCAAAAATTCAAATCTAAACAATCTTCAATTTTGACTATCGAATTTACTTACATATGCGTGAACAAATGTATTTAGTTTTTTTATTATTTTTTAATTTTCGTATTTTAATCTATTATTAAGTATTTAACTAGTTTTTATATTATTTTTCAATTTAACTTTCTTTTCTTTGTCTGCCTTTTTCTCTTTCTCTTTCTCTTATTCCAATTTTATTTTTTAAAGACATAAAATATCTTTATTGAAATATATCTTTATACGTATACATATTAATATCTCACATAGGATAAATATATTATATGAAAAATTTGTTAGAGTAATTGTAAATTATGTTTAATAGGTCGTATTGTGCACATTCTAGAAACTACATTCTACAGAAATGATATTAATGGACTGGTATATTCTGGCACAGTAGCAGCAATCAAATACTGATCTACATTGATTGAGAAAAAATTGTGTTGCGAGCAGTAAAATCTTGTGTAATATGGCACAATATTATAATTTTGTAACCAATGCCAGTGGTACATTTACTCTTGAAGAAGTACAGAGAATTTGCTCTGTAGAAGGGCAACATGTTCAGTTAGTTGAGAATATAAATAATGGTGGTAATGGTTCACAACAATTTTTGGCTTATACTCCTGCCCAACAAAACAGTGAACAAGCAATATTTTGCCAGCAAACTATTAACTTAGGGAGTCAAATCTCAGCAACGCAATTGGATCAAGGGTAACTTATGAGCATGCATTTCAAGTATTCATGTAGTAAAATGATTATCTTTTTTTGATTGATCTGAATGCTTTATAAGATGGGTATAAATCTAAATATAAAAACAAAATTTAATTCAATTTATTCATATATTATTGATTTAATGGAAGAAAAATAAATGTATCGTTAATTATTATAGATATTTATAATATTAAACTCATTAGGGATTATTTAGTATTAATTTTAATTGCTTCTCGTTTGTCTTTAGGAGAATTGTTGTACTGATACAGAAATTTTTTTACAGAATATTTATTACGAATTTTTTGGTATAATCCTTATTGCATTTGTACTCGTGTGCCTCAAAGAATATATTAATAATATCATTTTCGTTTAAACATTGTCTTCTGTATTTTTTTCATTAAATCATTGTTTTAACTTAAGTAGTAATTATCATACATCAAGATCATTACTATTTAGAAGACCTGAAATGTATTATTTTAATAGACATACAATATTACGAAACTGCTGATGTTAGAAAATAGTATGTGTAATCAGAATCTATAAAATCATAAAATAGTCCTTTCCTTCTCTTAGTGTATCAATCTTATGTTTATTTAACTCATTTACTATCTATAAGTCAATATAATACTACATAATGTACTGTAATTCATGTATGTAAATAAAAAAAATCAAAAACAAAATCTACCTTACAAAACTTCTCATATTTATGTTTCTCATGTTCGTATTTATTGTAACTTAGTTTCAAGTCTTTCAAGTGCTTCAAGTGCTCCAAGTGATTATATTTTTTTAACTACAGATGCAAAAATATATCATTATGAAAAACTGAGATTGATACATAAGAAAAAGCTAATCTGAAATATATGAAACAGATTGGTTCATTTCATCTTTTATCATAGACCCAAACAAAGTTAATATTTAATACCATTTATTTATTTTTTAGGCAAAACGTGTTTATAATTAAAACTAATGAAACACCACCACCACCTCCTCCTCCAAGTATATTAAAGCCTAATACAGTTAAAGTACATACAGCAGCTGAAAATATAGTAGATGTTGTGGATAATAGAGGTAAATATTGGGATAATTATATTTAATATTATAATTGCCATATAATAAAAAATGATTAGAATACATTTTCATGATATAAGTTCGTGATTATTCTCTTTTTCATTTTTATATAAATTTGGGTAACCAGTATATTTTGACATTTCTTTAAATTTATGTTGAAGTATAGTGTTCTCCATTATTTTTAATTTTTTTTATTAAAAATTAATATAGTAAATTAAATTTGTAGTTACTAAACCATTGGTGGAATGTAGTAATGATAATCAACAGATACAATGGGTGAAGATGCAAGAAAATAGTATTAACGTAGATGCAGTTTCGAAACAAAATACTCTTTTATCTGAAAAGAGCCAAACTGCTATTTTAAATAAGGGACAAACACAAAATAATATAGCAATATCTGTAAGTGATATTGTAATTTGCATATATTAACCATATACATTTGTAATCTCTACTTTTAATGATATTTTAATAATATGTCTTTTTTTGTTTAACTTTACATGGAAATACTGAATACCAGGGTTATAGTCCTGAAACTTCAGAAAAGAAGCCAATCAAATTCTATCAAAATAAAAACCGACTTCCTACGAATAATATACAAACAGTGTCTCCATCCATTCCTTCTGATGGTTTAAATGCAACAGATCGAGTGCAACGTTATTATGTATCAAATATTAAAGTAACTTCACCTTCATTCCATAATAAAGCAGTTAATGCAATTGGACAGAATGTAACTACAACATTTACGCGACAAGTTCGTGCATCTTTTGTTCAAGTGTCTCCAACACGACCTCCAGTTCCTAATCAGATGTCGAAAAATCCATTAAGACTACAGCGTCCAGAAATGGAACATTTAAGTCAAAGAATAAAACAAGCAAAATTACGACATTTGCAAAATGATCAACGGTCACAACAAAATATAAGAAAAAACCAAGTATCTAATATGCCACAAAAGACTGTACAAAATGCTACAGCTAATTCCTTACAAACTCAACAAGTAACAACAAATGTAATGCAACAAAAGCAATTACAAAATATTTCAACACAATTTCAACAATTACAAAAACAATCATCAGTTGCAACTGTAGAACAAAAAAATCTACATCAAATACAATCATCACCTCTTTCACCTCTTTCGCCTCAACAAAATGTGCAAACTAATTCAGATGTTGATGCTGATTGTATCTTGCAAGAAAAATGCATTGTTAAACAACAATCTTCTCCATCTCAAACAGATTCAGAAAGTAGTGCAAGTGAAAGCATTGCTTACTTACAAAAAGTTATCAATAATCCTTCCACTACAATAGTACAACGTCAAATACAAGGTAACACGGCAAAAATGTTGGTAATGTTACCAAATGGTGAACAGAGATTAATCACGTTTGATATATCTAATAATGATTGTACTGTACAAGATCTTCTGGAGCAGGTATCATTATTACTAAATAATTATTTGATTACTAATTTTTAATTCCTGTGTACATCATTTCTTATAAGATATTAATGTTAAAAGGCAAACATTACATTTGGTGGTGAAACAACTGTATGCTTAGTGTCGGATTCTACTTTTGGTATAAATTATATTGTGGAAACAGTGGCGCCAAGTAATGGTGCCATATTAAATGAAATTCATGAGCACGACAGTAACACATCGCAGGATAGTACGACTATGGGATCTCGTAATACTTCTCGTACAATTAGGTAAGATTATTTTGAAATTGGAACATTGTATTTAATCACAAAACAATAGAAAAACTACCTTAACCCTTTCGCTGCGGGTGTGTTTTTCGCGGTGGTACTCTTACTGAACGGGCTGCTGTAACGTGCATCAACAAAACTGCTGCATATACTCGTAGTATGTAAAATACGCGGCATTTTATGGAGAGCGACTATAGTCGCCCGTAGTAGCGAAGGGATTAAAAATAATCGTATATTAATCACTTCGGTACGGCGCTTAACAGTTTCGAAACCTTGCCCACAACCGGCACTTTTTGCTCTTTTACGTATCTGTGTCGATTATAGTCGACGCTCGTACCGAAGTGGTTAATAGAAGTTTATCGTATATTAATATAAATGTTTATATAAAAATTAATCTCTTTTAGTTCACCCGATGAAAATAGCAATCCCATATGTCAAAATGAGGTAAGCAAAGATTACTATTTTATATATAAAAGCATTTGGATTTATTATTTTTGATTAATTTAATTAAATTTATTTGTATCTTTTTACTTTGCCTTTTAACGGTTCGAGTCACTTCTCTATGAATACTTTCTCACACTTAATTTCAATACTACCAAAGAGTTCCTGTCTTTTTACCGCCTCTCTGGAGTCAACGACACACAGTTGACATAAGTAATTTTATTAATTAATTCGACACGTGTGTTTAATACAAATAATTAATTATAATTACTTGTGACAGTATGTTTTTTGAACGTATATTGATAAAAGTATTACATTTTAAATATACGTCACTTTTATATACACTTTTCTGTTTGTTATATTATTTTTTTAAATTTTATTTTGATGATATAACTTTTTTTTCGTTATCTTGAAAATATATAAACATTTAGGGGTATGGAATAGAGTAAATAACTTCATTATATTTCATAATATTAACACTTTGCACTGTCTGCAATCTTTGAGACGGTTTTGATCATTTCATTTTCAGTATTATTTAGATATACGTATCTTCTTTTAAAGTTTTTTATATTAGTAAGAACATATACTATCAAACGTGCATTTGTACTTTGATAAAGTTTTTGTTAGCAAATTATGACGAAATGATACCGTCGGAGGACCGCATAGTATTAATATATCATATAATAATTAATAGTGAGTTATTGTATCATGTATATAAGATATAATCATTTTTCAGGTCTTTATTTCATATACAAAAAATTCATTTATTTGTGAAATATATATGGCAGATCAATATTATATATTTGTCAATATCTGTTAGATATAATGTATTATATATATTCCAAGATTTGTATGTTCATTAATTTTAAGGATAATTTATTTATATATAGAAATTTTTTATCCTGTATATATGTAGTAGCAATATCAATAATGTGTTACATCTGTGAAAAAAAAAACTTTGTAATTTGATAAACAGTTATTTGGTCAATAGGTGTATACAAGATGAGTATTGTAAATTGAATCACCTAAATATCTTGAAAATAACACATTTTTCAAAAGAAAGTTCGTAAACGAAAGTTGGTGTAGAAACTACAACATTATTTCTTATTCAACTGTACTTTATTAACTTCTGTTTCAAACATTCTTTTTGAAAATATGTTGTTTTTGAGAATTGAATTGTTTCAATTTAAAAAACTCGTTCTGGTATATTAATGTGATATGTGAAAGTATATAAAAATAATAATTATTAATGTCAATCTGACATATGCAGAATTATTTTGTTAAGTAAATTATGGCAGAAGCTATAAGCTACATTTTGTATGGAATTAGGAGGCTACATACATCGAGGGGAAGCTTGCACTGTGTCCAAACTGTGGTATTAGCTCATTAGACTTCAACCGATGTCAACGATGTTTGAAAAAATTGCCGGAGGACGTGAAGACGATACCTATGACTGTGGGTATACAAGAAAAAAAGGAGAACATGCTGTCTGTCAATGTAAGGATTATGACTGGAATGCTTGAAGACCAGTATTGTGTATTGTGCTTAATATTACAAATTGTTTTTAAATATTATGATTGAGGGACAGATGAATGTCTAACAAATTCATATCATTCAAATTGTATTGGATTGCCTGGAAAGTTCGTGTCGGTTTATCAATCTTTATGTTCGAGATTTATATTTTTAATGTATTAAATATATTTTTCACAACATCGACATAAACTTTTCTGGCAACCATACGATTATATATTAAATTGTCCGGAAAGTTTACGTCGGTTTTGAGAAAAATGTATTTAATACATTAAACACATAATTCTCGGCACGAATTATTTTTCGAACAACCTAATACATGCTTATATAGTATTACCGAATGAAGAGAGAGAAAGAGAGAGAAAGAGAGGGAGGGAGAGAGAGAGAGAGAGAGAGAGAGAGAGAGAGAGAGAGAGAGAGAGAGAGAGAGAATGAATGAATGTGTAGTTATTAAATATTATACATACAGCATAATTTTTAAGATATTAAATTTATTAATATAATTTTAAACTTAAAAATTTTCTGTACGTCGAAGTTTCAGGTGGTATCAGTAGCAGATTTCTTCTGTGATCATTTTTTGTTACTTCCAATTCCAGATGTTTATTTTTTATTTTTTTTATCTTCTTTAGTTTCAATAAAAATATTTCTTTAAGTATCTTAGATATATTATAATGTTATATCTTTGCAGACATTTTATAAGAAAAACAATGAACGAAACTCTTCAGCAAAGTTGGAAAAATTAGAACGCGATGGATCTGCTTATAAACGTGGTAGAGGAAGAGGAAGAGTTTATGCATCAAGGGCAAAAATTGTTAATAAAGAACCAGGTATATATTTAGAATATACTATATTTTAATAATATTAAATAATAAATATAATCTATATAATATATAAATTTTGTGTTGATAACTTTTTAAACATAATATATGAAATTGCATATAGAACAAAAAACTATATTGCTCCGTAATTTTTATCTGCAACTGTATATTAATTGTATTGTTTTTTTTTTTAGAATGTTTGACCATATCATCAGATGAGGATGAAGAGGGAAAAACTAGAAAAGTAGATGGTGTTTTCAGTAATGCAGTTTCAAGTAATGCAAGTAATAATTTAAGCGAAGAAATGGAGACAATCCTTGATAAAGAACCAGTAATTACAAACAACTCTGTTTCTAGCACAAATATTGAGTTTTCATCAAGCAACGAAGAATGTACCGAAGGTAATAATATTGATTAATTTTGTCTTCAAAATAGATATCTTTATAATATATTATTCCATAATATTTTTTAATGTTAATATAATTGCTTTTATAGGTGGAAGTTTAAAAAGTGAAGATCTAAATTTTGCAAACAGTTCTACACAAAATCTCCACACAGCTATTTTATGTCGAACAGTCAGAATAGGATCATATAAATATGTTCCACCAGAGAAAGTATTAATAACTTCCAGTGGAATAAGATTTGGAATACCCTTGTTAGAAGATGGTAAGAATTAAATAAATATATGATATACATTAAATATCTTGCTCAGAGGAAACATTGGTGGTATTTGGTATTTGGTAAAGAATATATTTTTCAACGTTGTTATATATTGCAGATACGAGTTTTGTAACATTGGATGTGAAAATTCGAGATCTTGTAAAGGTATTAGTACATTTTGGAAAATCTATGCCAGTTATTTTCTTCTATACGTCTACAAGTACAGGAGCAATGATTCGCGAATTATTAGGAATGCAAGATCCAAAAGGACCGTATTATGATCCAGCTGGCAAGGGTAAGTAATATTCTAATTATACCTGATGATGAAGATCTCATATTTCTCTCTCTCTCTTTCTTTCACTCTTTCTTTCTTTCTTTCTTTCTCTCTTTCTTTCTTTCTAAAATATTTATTTTTATGTACAGATCACACACACAGGCGTATTACTTTACTACCAGATAAGATAACGGATGAATCAAAACTTGTATTGAAAAATGTATTCATGGTAAGAAAGGGCCTGTTTGAAGAATTGAATCCGAAAGAAGCTAATGATATTCTAGTACGAGCATCGCCAAAAGATGTATGTCATTTCGTTTTATATATTACTAAGTATATGTAGAATTATTATTAAGTATATCTAATTAAATAAAATAAGTCATGTGTATGTAACTCTAAAAAATTTATATTTCTCAGTTTTTAATATTTATTCAATTTTATTTTCCTCACACAGAATACACTTACTTCAGGTCTTGCTAGAAGATACAGTCAAACATCAGTCTCGAATGTATCGAGTGCAAGCAGTGGAATACAAAAGTAAGAAAATATTTCATTTTAATTAAAATAGCATATATGATTTTATTACATATATTATTTATTTACAGTAAGTAGCTTTGATATTCGGAAACAATTTGTATTTTGTCAATTTTTCTTTTATGACTAAAATTACAAAGCAACAAAATAAAAATTATATGGTATTTGAATATTAAAGTTACAATTGTATGTATTTCTAATTTACTTTATTTTACAGGATAACAGTCTATCCACCACCCCCTGCAAAAGGTGGTATAGCCATAAATACCGAAGATTATTTGTGTCTTGGAGAAGATCAATTTTTAAACGATGTTATTATAGATTTTTATTTGAAATATTTAACATTAGAAGTCTTATCAGAATCAGATCAACACAGAACACACGTATTTAGTTCGTACTTTTATAAACGCTTAACAAGTCCTCACGCTCAAGCTGGTGAAAATGCAGTGGTCCTTTCTGCGGCTGCTAAAAGGCACGCGAGAGTACAAAAATGGACTAAAAATGTCAATATATTTGAAAAAGATTTTATTGTGATCCCTATCAATGAACAGTAAGTAAACGTATATATTAAATTTATTTTATACATTGTGTACGGCACTGTGCTCGCTCAACGCGCTTCCAGGGCCCGCACATTTCTGGGTGCTCCAAAAAAACAAAAGCATGAAAACGAGATATCTTGTCACCCGGCCACAACGTTCGCCTTGCTGTAGACGAGATATCTCGTCACTCGTACGCAATGTGTTAATATATTTTAGGTATATATATTCATAGTAATAATATATATATATAACATTTATATATACAGTGCTCATTGGTTTTTGGCAATTATTTGTTTCCCTGGTTTGGTGGGTAAAGTTACTATAAATAATAAAATTCCTAAAGAAGAAGATGTGCATAAAACAATCCAGAAAAGTAAAAAATTAAAGGATCTTAAGATTCAAGCTGTAACAATTGGTACTACAACGATTACTCCAGTTACAACTACTATAACAATTGACCAAGGAGATGATGGTTCGGAAAGAGATGAAGCAGAAGGAGATGATGAAGAAATGGAAGTAGATAGTGATGACGACGTATGTCACATTAAATTATTTGTTGAACTATTAAAGATAACATTTAGAAATACATTGTTTTAATATATGTACACATATATAGCGTCTTTCACTTAACTAGGTGGTTTAGTTAGGTGAAAAACCCTGTATATTAGAACTGCAATTTTTTTGTTTATTTTAGGAAGAAACTGAAGGACAAGAAAGTAACAAAACTCAAGAAACGGATAACGGCTTTCAAAATATAGATTCTGTAAAAGTGTAAGTATAATAATAAAACTAATTTGATTATACGTTTTTTAACTTAAAGATAAGAATTAAATATAATACTGAGAAAATAATTTTATTTCTTTTTCAGTCCCTGCATATTAATATTCGACTCTCTTGCGGGTGCTAGTAGATGTCGCGTTGTTGCCACATTACGAGATTATTTGAGTTGCGAATATGTTGCAAAAATGGGAATTGAAAAAACATTTTCGAAAGATACTATTAAGGGAGCATCTCCGAAAGTTCCTCAACAATCTAATTTTACTGATTGCGGCCTATATGTATTACAATACGTGGAGAGCTTCTTTAAGGTAATTTAATAATCACATTTTTTATGCATATATATATATATATAATTAATTCAATTAAAAATGAGATTTATTTCAGGATCCCATTAAAAACTATACATTACCGATAAAAACTTTAAAAAATTGGTTTGAAGAAATAGTTGTTACAAGAAAACGTGAAGAGATATCAAAGTTATTAATTAAGTTAATGAATGTTACAAGAGGAAGTAAAAATATTGCATTGCCGGTTGTAAACTTTCCTACGCAAGATGGAAAATTAAAGCCAAAACCGGAAAATCACCTTGAAATAAAACCTATTAAACCTGAATTAGACATTAAGAAAAAGACTATGTCAGAGACAGAAACGAACTCTCGCGCAGTTAATAGCACAGTACCAGGTCAAACAGAAAGCCCAGAATCAAGTACTAATGAGGTAGTAAGCAAAACTACTTATCAGATCATTCCTTTTTCACCATGTACAAGTTCTACTAGCTCGACTGATAATTCAACGGAAATGTTGATTGATACGAAAATTCATGCAGCTAGGTATATACCAGATTATACATTTAACATTTTTTTTTGGTATAATATTGTGGTAGTTTTAAAATAATTAATTGAAATTGAAAATGGTTTTACATATATAAATATAATAGTAATTTAATTGTTATTAATATTGAACACTTGATTTCATTTTATTCTAGATCACCGAATGAAATAATATCCTATTTAAAATCTAAACGGATTCCTAGGTTAATGGTAAGAACAGACGCTCAAGATAATTCTCAGGCCGCTAAAAAGCATAAAGGAGAATCTTTTTAAGTCTTGTAAATAAATGTTTTCTTTTTTTATAACGATAAAAGTATTTTAGTTTCCAAGTTCATAAAAACACATGAAATCATTTACCTATGTAACAAAGTATGTAGTTAATAATTCATAAGAAGAATAAAACGAAAGCCCAAACCTATAAGAAATATCAACGTTTAATACGATTATCATAAACTTATAAAAATATGAATATTATGAATTAAATGATTTTCTTCATAATTTTAAAATTTTATAAATTACTTATTTTTTTTATTTAGTTTTCCTTAAAATAAATATTTCATCATCCTCTACTTTATAATCTTAAGAATTTTATATATATATAGATAATATATATAAATATATACTTAGTGTGTGTTTAAAACAACTATTACTATCGCAAATATATCTAATATTAGGAAAAAGAAAAACATTTTTTTTTGTTTTTCTTTTCTTTTTATTTCAAAGTTGTCAATATTTTAAAAAATAGAACCCAGCAATTTTTTTCATAATTATTTCTTATACAATTCTTGATAAAAAACATGGCACAATGCCGAAAAACAGTTAATTCGCGAGATTAAAAAAAAAAATATTTAGTATAACTCCCGCGATATACCTAGTCAATTAAAACTGCAACAAATAAGAATAAAAATATCATAGAAATAATTTATATGAAATAAACAGAGAATACACTTGCCCGAGTCAATCTGAATAGATGTTAAAACGCTGCACTGTTTTATAATCAAGTAATTCGGGTATCTAACAGCTATTTAAAGTCACTTTGTATGTATGCATATATGGTTGATGTATATGTATCACTTGCTAGCTTAAATAACTTGTTCGAGTTAAATCTTACTCTGTGCAGTCTATGAATACCGGGAAAGATACAAGTAGAGTAAAAGAAATGAAAAAATAGTGATCCAAATCAATGAGATTTAGATCGATTAGTGACACATAGTGATTCTTATTGGTGACAATCGTCGTACGAGTTTTAATACATATTGTTTGATTATCATCTCATCTGGAAAACAGATACAGAGAAACTTGAAACCGTTACTCGAAGCTAAGCGCGACATGTATTGCATAATGCAATAATTCCCTTAACGTTGTATGTATTCTAGAATATTAAACCTAACAGTATTGTTACAAGACACGGAACAAAATGAAAAGTAAATGAAACAATTTATGATAAAGTTTTTATTTGATCCTTTTTAAAACCAACTGACGAATCGCGTCTTAATTTATTTTTAATGAGTTATTTTTAATTTAGTTTTAATGAATTTCATTTCTTTCGAATTCATACAACGTATTTAAACGGAAATAAAAACTCATACGGAATTCTTCCTTGTGTAAGATGTAAATTTGATTAATTTTTTTCTTTTTTTACATTAACATGTAGAATGTTCTGTAATAATAAAAATTATTGGCAAACTTTATTACAATTAAAAAAGTATAGATATTTTTTGTGTAAAAATAAACCCTAATGAAAAAATGTGTAACAGAGATAAATATGTTTATTTATGCAAAACGGTCAACGTGTTAATAACTGCATCATTTAAAATATGCGTATTAAAGTATTAAATATGCGATCTTATAATTCAATTCAACACGCCGAAATTTTTAATTATTGATTATATTTTGCAGATCTTCTTACATTTCTTTATAATTTATTCTTTTAAATAATTTTTCATCATGATTCCGAACATCATTGCTTTGGCTGTATCCACTTGTTACATTCTATTAACGAGTTTAATCGCATATTGGATGAGAAGATATGTCATTTATTACATAAAAGAACCTTTGATACAATCTTTATTTCTCGAAGGAATAGCAACAGCTGAATTATGCGGTGCCTGTTTTGAACTGATTATAAGTAAGATATATATCAATAAAGAAAAATTTTAATTACAGTTCGATTTATGAAAATATGAAATACACACGAACTGTAAAAATAAATTCTCGTTATAGTTGCTGATAATTGGGGAGTATCCATGTACGCGATATATTTATTCGTATTAACGATTTGGTGGAGTTTGAATTGGGACGATGCCAGTGCTTGTCCTTATACGCATCTCGAAGAAGCTGTAGAAGGAAAGAAATCTTTGCGCATCGCTTTTCTGTTAATATGGGCAGAACTTATTGGTGGCCTCGTTGTATTTCGATATATACAATTGTTGTGGGCGTTAGAAATCGTACCTACGCACAAAAATAAAGCTTTTGAAGATTGCACTACGGATTTGCAGGTATAAAAAAGCCAAAAAATCATATCTATAATATTATATTATCATAGCATTAAATATTATTATGCTTTATTATATTGAAGGAGAAAATATTCTGTTCGAAGACACCGATACGGTGATGGACCGAATTTTTTTCTCAAGGTCATTTTTTTCGACATTTCAAAGACATCGTATTTTTCTTTTAATGGGACTGCATATTTTCACTACAACAGTCTTATAGAGAATTTAATAATTCTTCTCGCGTGTTAAAGGTGCCTGTTATATTTGGTGCACTTGTAGAATGCCTAGCAACATGTATATGCAGAATAGTATCCCGTGGATTAGGCGAATTTAATTCAACTTTCTGTACTATCATCGATTCCTTCGTTGGAACTTCTTTAGTCGTTGCAGGTTTGAACATATACTTTATTTCTTAAATTGTAAATTTACGTATGCCTATATTTATATAAAATAAATGAATGAATTTTTCTTTGTTCACAGCGTTTAATTATTCCGGTGGCTACTTCAATCCTGCGTTGGCTACATCGTTGAAGTATGGTTGTTTAGGAACAACTTTTATGGAACATGTAATTGTTTATTGGGTTGGAGCTTGTGCAGGTTCAATCCTTTCTTTGAGGGTGTACAATATGCCTTTTATTCAAAATTTTATCAATAGAAAAAAGGAGAAAAGTACTTAGAGCAATTTCTTAAATTTTCGATTGACCAAAGATTTCTTCAAAGATTTTGTGTTCATTCGTTGATTTTTATTTAAAATTAATATTTATTTCCTTTTTACCTCCTGTAGCAGTTTTTAGAATAACGTTAAAAGTTAAGTTTAACGATTGATAAAAGTGTGATAAATAAAAGACAAAAGAACGCACACATTTAGGTGTACAAAAAGTGAATTTATTATATGACAATAACTAATTCCAAGTGTACAAATTATATTGTAGAAATCTTCTAATTTGATTCATCAAGTGGAAAGATTATTTATTAAATCCTAAATTTATTAATAATATGTGTTTCTTCATATATAGGTATGAATTTAAATAAGTTATTTTCATGTATTGAAACAAAGAATGTATTCTTATAAATAACATATATATTTAAATATATTATATAATATTTTTTAAAATATAAATCGCTCATTGAAAAATCCATCAAAGGAAAGAATAAAAATTTCATTTTGTAAATACACATTGAATATAATAAGTACAATATACTCCAAACAGCGAGACACAACACATTTTTTTTCACGTAGAGAAATCAACTGGGAGAAATATAAATATCTTACTATAACCTTTGACTTATTTATAGATATACGTATGAAAAACACGTTGTTTTCTTAGAGTAACAATGACTTTCTGAACTCCGAGATAAAAAGATACTTAACTCAATAAATAAGGATATATTATTATAAATGTGTTGTTTTCTGTGTAGAAGAGTATCAAAAATTGAAAAAAGAGTATATAAATCGCGTGCATAATAAATTAAGTAAGATATTATATTTAAATACGACAATTATATATTTTTTGAGATGAGAATAAAAGTTTTATACGTAAAATTCAGTTTTAGATGACAAGTCATATTGAATTGGTTCGTTTTTATACATTTCGATTGTCTGAAACATAAATATACATTTGTTTAATAATTTTACGTAAACACATTGTTGACCGGCTATGTAAAAATTGTTAGAGTTACTTTATGAAATCCGTTAACTCGTAAAATGACTAGCTAAACCCTGAAATAGCTATGCTGATTTATTTAACACTCGGTTAACTGTAGGTTTACGGGACGCGCCATTTTGACGCATTTCGAATTTCATGAGGAAAATTCCAAAAAACACTCGCCTTTTATTTTTTACTATTTGTACTGTCCATTAACGTAAATCCATTTAACGAGGGAAATGTATATCGAAGTATAATAAAGTACAAAGATATACTCAAAGTTTTGTCGAATAGATGACAACCGTGAGAAATACATATGTAATATTAGAAATAAAATTGTATACATGGGTGTGTATAAACACTTACCGCTTCAACATCTTTATCCAAATTGGCGACCTGTTTTTCGTGCGTAACTTTAAGCTTTTCCATTTCGCGACCTTGTTTGATTTGTACAGTTTTTCTTTCTTGCATGAATTTTTTCGTATTTTGTTCTTTCTTTTCTCGAAGCCTACGATCCTTATCACCTTTTGTTTTAAGAGCTTTATCATTCATCACTTCTTTTGCCGTTTCTACAGATATCTTAGCCTGATTTGCATTCATGTCCTTGATATCTCTGTGATCGCACACAAATTTGTTATTTTAATCATTTGCATATATATCTACATCTATCTATAATTACAAAGTAGCTATTTCAATCGCAATAGCAACCACATGCTATCCTAATGCTAAATATATCAATCTGATAAATGTTCGCTAACAACAAATTAATAATAATGTATAATAATATCAATTTTCATTATTACTTGTCGTGTTTTGCTTGTAGCTGTTTTACTTGCGCTGCTTGGACAATTTCGATAAGTTTTTTGAATTCATCCCGACCAACTTCTGTCTGATTTTTCAACATTTCCCACTCCTCTTTTCTATGCCTTTCCACCATAGCCGACCATTGTGCTGTTTGCTCACTTATTACCTTTTTCACATTCGCATCTTGGACCAGCGCACTTTTACTAAGAACAATCATTTATAATAGTTATTAAATCTATTTCTATAAATCATTTGTATATATCTCTATTTTTGCAAATATATATTTCTATTTCACAAGAGCTCCAGCTTCGAAACACCAATGTTTTTGAAACTTTACACAGTTGCAGAGGTCTATTAGGACCATAAACTGTGCACACAGTAACACCCAATACTCAACCATTTCCAAAAGAAGAAAAGTTCTAAGCCTAATACAACGACTCGCTGCGCCCCGAAAATGACGGTCTTTCTAAACGCACATAATGCACTCAATATTTGTCCTATTTCAACATTACAAATATGGAATCCTTGTGCCTGACAATTTAAAAAGTCATAGGAAAGATTGAAAAAAGATTGAAAAAAGATTGACGAGGTCATTCGGAGTCCCTGTTAGATTTGCAATTAGATTAAATAAACGATGTATAAAAATTAAAAAAAAATATATATATAACAGGGGTACTTACTCTTTACCCTTTACTAATTTTTCGATAGCTGAACAATGATTTTTCTGCATTGTTTGTTTTTCCTTTTGATGCTTCTTTCTCATTGTATCCAATTCCTTCAATTGTTTTTTTCCCATTTTGTATGTTTTTTCTCTTTTAAGCGTATCTATCGTGATTGGTTCTGGCTTCCATTCCTCTTAAATTGTAATTTAATTTTTAATTGAATCCGTAAAAAAAATAATGGCGAATTTGTATGTGTACCTTTCTTAGCTTCTTCTTCTTTTTTCTTTTTAGCGTCAGCTTTAGCATCGGTCTGTTCAATTCCAAGTCCTTTCATGGTTTCCGCTTGCTTCTCCGCGCCTTTGCTAAATCCACCCGGATCCGATAGCATGGCCATGAAATCTAAAATTCACATTTATTTGCTCTGCTTTTAGCGTTTCAATTTTGAAAGAGATAGATATTTCAAATTTGATTTCGCATGAATCTTATTATGATTACCTTCGAATCCATCTGGCACGTAAATCTTTAATTCGATGTTACAAAATAACATAGGCAATGCCATTGGAAAATTAGCTTCAGTTTTCAACGATATATGCCTGTAGCCAGCTTGAAGACCATCCAATGGTAAAATTCTCTGCCCAAGTAATTTTCCACTTTCTTCGTACACACCTAAATGTTGTAACAAAGGATAGATATATAAAATCATTTTATCAAATGACTGATGATTGATATCATTTGTTAATTTAATTGAAATTACCGATTCTGAGGACAGCCAAGTCAGGTAATACAACTTTTCGAAATAGAAATGGTTCCTCGTTGTAGACTGGATTCAAACCATTTCCAGGTACCATTCTTGTTCTGAATTCTTTTTTTATAGTATCGGCCGGTAGACCGTACATATCTACTTCAACGTAAGTTCCTACTTTTTTATCTGACAAGAATTGTCCTGCTATTATCTGTTGTTAAATGATCCAATATTATTTGTGCACTTTCTTACTATTACTTTATCTGAGAATATTATTTTTTATTTTTTATTTTGTTTTTGATACAATGTTTTACCTGTACGGAACACTGCGCAGTGATAACACCATCCACATCTTCGGAAAAAGGATCAAAATTACGATCGGGTCGTCTCATGAAATCAGGTTTCAATAAGTATCCAGTAGTTCCATTGTACTCGAATTTACCTTGATTTAATTGCATAGGTAAATCAGGGGTTTGAAAGTTCAATGCCACCATCTGACAACCAGCATTCCAGAATACCTAGAGAAATCAAGATTTTTGTTGAGTCGAGTTTCAGATTAATCCTCAGAGAATAAGTTCATTATTTTTAGCTAGGTTTTAAATATAAGATTTTCGTCATTATTATTATCTACATATATATTACAAAATTATTATTAATTATAAATTGAATTAGATATCGAATGTAATAAGTATTTAAACCTGTGGCATATAATTTGAAGAATCAGCTCTTGTTCCTTTTGGATATATTCGACTCATTTGACGTTTGTTATAATTTACAAACTCAACCGAGTGTGTTTTTAAATAATTCAAAGCCGCCGTCTCAGAGAACGATGACATATTGTGATGTATGTTTTTTTCTACGATGATAAACAGAGAATGAGTAAAGGAAAATTTTCATTGAAAATGAAAATTTTATAGAAAACAAAAACATGAAATAGAATAATTTTAATGACTACGTACTTTCGGCTGTTTCGAAGCTTTGGAACTTAATTGGTTGAGCGTAATTGATCATAGATGATAGCCAAGGATGACAAGCCATTGTACTACCTGTGTATTGAATAGGTGGTGCTTCACCATCGGCACCACCTTCACCTGGAGGTGCACCTTCAGCCGGTGGTGCTTCCTCCTGAGAAATATTAATAATATTCCCAAAATATAATCATTTTTTAATACGTCGCGAATCAGATATTTTATTCTTATACCGAATAAATATTTCTCTAATATCTTTAGTGTTTTTTTGATTATCCATATTTAAATGGTTCGAACAATTAATTGCCAAGAATTAAATTACTCAAAATCTTGTAATCTTTGCTATTTGTTACTTCATTGCACAATCATTCTTGATAAATAGATAGACAATGTCAAATATTTTGGATCATTCATCCGCAATAAATTTTGTCTTCATTTTATTTACCTTTGGAGGTTCTGGAGGTGGAGCTGCCGGAGCACTGGCATCCTCAACAACCTCATCTTTTGCCTCAAACTGTCCTGAACGAAAGAGTTCTAGTTCGACCTTCTCAACTTCAGGCTTCAATCTTTTATTCTTAATTAATATCTTACGTTTCAGAGCACTTGGGGGTGGAAGAGGGGAACCTGGTTCGAGCTAAGTTCAATCGGAAAATAAAAATACCAATTCAATATTTATTCTTCAGATATTTTTATGAACAAAATATTATCTACATTTAATTACCGGATAGTCTTTCAAAGGTTCTTTCAAAAGTAGGTCACCTAATATTTCATCACAATACTTAGCCAATTTGTACTGTTGTTTCAGGCAACAATGATTCTCGAAGCTGAGAATAATAGGATAATCGGATGTAACGAAAGCTGTGTCTCTGAGAGCATAAATAACATCCTTGAAAAGAATATCCGTACACATAGCTTTTCCATGAGTTATTATGGGTTCTTCATCTTCACCTTTGCCATCCCAACAATCCAATTCAACGCACCTATAAAAAGAAAAACAAAAATAACAAAAATAATGATTTTTTCAATTGAATCTTTTAGAGATCTCTTAGAACACAATTATAATTCATTGTCAAAATGTTGTTCACCTGCAACCTGCAAGCAAGACTTGTCTGTACATCTCTACTGTACTCTTTCCACCAATTTGTCTTCCACTGAGATAAGTATTGTGACTCGAGTTAATATAATAATGAGCAAGTGGTTGATCCATGTCCATCCATTCTTCTAATTTATCGAGAAACACTGGCGCATTTTCGTCGGACATCAAATAACGTATGAAACCATCCTTCGTTAATCTTTCTACAAATATTTATATTATCTTATTAAATTAGATCAATTTTTTTAATCGTGCTATATTTTTTTTTTTTAATATATATACATTAGTAAATATATTTTTAATTTGATAAAAAAGATTTTGTTTTCGAGGGAAATAAATTTGAAAATTTGTCCACGACAAAACAATAATATATGAACCATTTTTATTCCACATTTTCGACTTGGTTTTTCATGTAGAATCAACCCCTGCTCGCTTGTATCACTACTTACAGAGGGAAAAATATTATACGTATAATACTTACTCTCAGTTTTTGCTTTATCGTCTGTTTCATAATCATTTATAATTTCTAAACATCTTTTTTCGTCGTAAAGTGGATACAAAATTTCGTTTAATCTTGGATCTCTTTGTTTTTCGTTCATAAATGTTACCAATTGCTCCAGTCTTATGGAATCGGCTTTTCCTTTTGTTCTGAATACAAAAAATTCAAACAATGTGGATAATACATTTCTATTAAAAATATATTTTTATTAAAACTTACATCGATTGGAAAAGTTCTTCGATATCATTTCTGGGACAAATTTTGAAGTATAAACTGTAAAATTTGTCAAAAGTAAACGCTTCCGGTTCGATTTTATCATTCTACAAAAATATTTAGACAATTATAGATATAATGATAATATCGATTATTGAATGTATGTAACTATAAAAGGGATTAGTTTTTAATGAAATATACCTTTCCATTAGGTAAACCCAAGTCAGCTAATCCTTGATAGACCAATTTTTCTGTTTTACCTGACGCAAAAGTCTTTGATATTATCTTTACAGGAACTTTTCCTTTTGGATCTACTTGACTTCTTAATCTCATCCAACTATATATAAAAATATACAAAATCCAAAGATTTATTCATTGTAAATGGATTGCGATCGTAATAAATACTTACTGTTTCATTAATTGAATTGTCGGACAAACATTACTGGCTTTTGTGTTATGTGTGATCAATCGTAAGCCAACTTGCCAATCCTGTCGATCAGTCGTTTAAATATAAACTTTTCACGTCTTTGATAAGTTAATCCTACAAACGTATATCGATAAAAATGAATTTCTACCTTCGCTGTTTTTGCGTCCGCACATACCACGTGCTGATAATGTATATTGGTATAATCGATTCCAGAGCATATAGTTAAACTTTTTTCATCCAATTGTTCTAAATTCCCGTGCTTACTTAATTTATTGCATAACTTTGGATCCTGAGTAAAATTACAAATGGATTATTAGATGATTGATTAAATCGAAAAGGGTTTTCAAAATGTATTGTAGATACCTTTGGAGTTCCACCATAACGAATGTCACTGACTTGAGCTAATTCTATAACATCACCATCCTACATAAAATCAAAAGATATATGATACTTGTTTTACTTCCAAAAATAAAAGGAAAACGAAATTAGATAATAAACGTTAGTAAATTTAATTATGTTTACCTTCCCATCGCTTTTCCAAGAAATAAAAAAACCGTACTCGTCGACTTTAAACATACAATTAGGTTCGTATTCAGTCGTTTCTTTATCTTCGAACCATCGATCAAAAGTCGAACCATTTCTCAATAATTCCGGTACTTCTATTCGCCAATTAAACTCAAACTTTTTCGTCATATTATTCCCGTAATGTACAGGGAACGAAGCGAGCTTGAGTTTTCCAAGATTGCAAATGAAATGATTTCGTCTCGCAGTAACAACTTGCCCTGGAGACGCATAACGCAATTAGTTTAATCCAATTTATTGTATGAGGATTCCCTCATGATCCGGTATGAATCGATCATCGATCCGTAGGGAAACGGATACCTAACTTATATAAGTGTCCTCATCATGTCAAATCTAATTTTAAATTAACGCTTAGAATTATGCAAGAACAATTGTTCATTTTCTAGATAAATTTGTAAATTTCCTAGATATCTATGCGTTTGTACTGTACGATCCAGTAGTTGATAGCTGAAAACAAAGACAATTTTGATGTACGGCTTCGATGAACTCAACCTTGACAATAATGAAGAGTATTCTGCTCGCGTTTAGGAACGTGAGAGATTCGAATTGTAAGGTTTCAGATTTTACGGGTATTGGGATAAAACAAGGAATTTCGCAGAAATAACAAAGTTGCATAATTAACAATTTTATTTCTTTAAATCTACATTATTCGTTTATGGGACACATTGAACCTTCTGCTATTGAGATATTACATTTATTACGTTGATGAGTGATTATGATTATTTTGAACATTCCTTTCTTTGCCTATGTATTCTTCATTTAAACAAAAACGTCAATCATATTCGATAATAATTAATTAAAGATTTATTTATTAATGACATTTCTACATTGCATGGTACTTAAGTATACTATAACCATTTTTTTCTTTATAGACGATTTCCTTAAAAATTGTGTCTTTGTACTGAACTAGACCATCTTATTGGTACCATGATGAATTTTATTTTTACATGATCTATATACTATATTTTACAGAAAAGGAATGTGTACATTAATTAAAAGCTGTATTACGTTCTTCTCTGTTTACAGCTACGTTCGCGTACAATATCACTATTTTACATGATTTATTTTTTTTTCTTTTTCTTTTGTTTTACGTCGTAACATCGCTGATAATTGCTATGTCAAAAATATCTTATTAAGTATTATTTATTTTTATTCCTAATGAAACGAGTTTTGTTTGAAGCAAGTCATCAAGGTTGCAAAAAGTAATCTTTTAATAATTTGCATTCTATATTAATTTACCGATTTTTCTTTTCTTATTTATTCCGCTTACGTCTACTTATTTAAAAAATCAATTTTATACATCTCCGACTTGAAAGATGAAACGAGAATAGAAATGAATGATAGATGATCTAAGATTTCAATAGTTCACTTTCGAACCATGCATTCATTTAGATAAGAATATAAAAACGCGTGTGATCGATAAAAATTTCTCGAAAATATTCATGCATCATCATTCAGTGATATACATGTGTATATATATATATATATATATATATATATACATACAACGATTATGGTCGATTTGATGATTCATGAGATTGATTTAAAAAAAAATACATTTACAGAACATCATGATTGTGGCTTTGAGATAAGATAATTCGCGTTTAGTTGAATTGGATTAATCATATCCTGTTGAGGAGAGAGATCCTTCGCGGTTTCTTCCTCGAGATTGTGCATGGGTTCCGTACAATATTCCTGTCCGCAAAGTTTGCATGCTTCAAAGTGTGGCTTAATAGAGTTCTTCAGTTTCTAAAAATAAATGTGAGATCGAAGGAAAATAAATGCGTGCGTGGTTTCGTTTATCTAACAATTCGAAGAATTTTGAGAGTAGCTGTGTATAAGGAAAGACGTTTTATTATACCTCGGAGAAAGTATTGCCTTCGGATTTGACAAACACATAGATAGCAAAGGCTGGTATGCAAATCAAAGAAAGTGATGCTATACCCCAGCCGATAGCTTCTGCCCACCAGGGATATTCGTATTCACCGTTTCGATAAGTAGGTGGTTCGTAATCGATCAAACTGAAGACCCAAACAGCCTGAAATATAAACAGGAACAAATGATCAATCAATCAAATTGAATGAAAAGGAAAAATGATGATAAATCTGATCGAATGTTTACTTACCAGTATGAGAAGTGGCGCCGCTACGAGCCAACAAAACCGAAAATACATAGAAGGCAATCTCCCAGTCATTTCCTTGACATTATTACATAATCTTCGAACACCATAACACCAGGATATGGCAATGACTTCGAAGAAAGCTAAGAACATTATCGAGAGAGACGCGGCATAATGATCTATCAGTTGGAAGAAATAAATCCCACCCTGAAATGAAAAGCATGCAACGGATTAGATGATTCATTTGATTATATTATACAAACAAGAGGATTGACGCTGTGTGACATCGATAATTACCTGCGTGATGTTGGGCAATCCAAAGAGGAAAGAGACTACGCATATCACAAGTACCAACATCTCGTGGCAGAGTAGACGACGTTTAACCCAATTTGGAAATCCGTCTTGAATCGACGTCACCACGACTTCGACTATAGCAAACTATAGATAATAAAGAAATGATCAAATTTCTTCGTAATTAGGTATCACAATGTTGAGAAAAATGGTAGAATTTGAATTGTACCTGACTGTTCAACGAAAGGCAGACCATCATAAAAAAAAATAATACGGCCCACAATTGAGACGCTGGCATCTTGGCTAGAGCTTGCGGATAGATGACGAATACTAGGCCAGGTCCTTGAACGGAAATTATGATTTATCTATAAAATGTTAGGAGACTGACGTTAATCTAACGATTGTATTCAAGGAGGTATGAAAAAGAACTAAACAAAATATCTACGTCGTCTCCTTTGAATCTCAAACCTGATTCATTTTCTTCGACCACAAGAAGAATTTGTATAACGTAATTGATAATTCGTCAATTTCGAGACTTACCATCACTGAGGACTGCTTCGACAGACATGTTTTGTTCTCGCGCAATGTTTCCGATCGTTGCGAACGAGAAAATCCCAACGAGTAAACTGCTACAAGCATTTATCAGTGAAACTGCTACAGTGTCCACCAAAATGGTATTATGAAATTTGTTGTAACTTGCAAAGCAGATCATTGAACCGAAGGCGATACCCACAGAGTTGAATATTTGTGCTGCGGCATTGACCCATACCTTCAAATTACGAGAACGACCATGAACCATTTAACGTTTCAGTGAAATGATTATTTCATAACATGAAAAATCAAATTTTCGAAATCGGTAATTAAGAACAAATTCTTCATTATTTTCTTTGTATAAATCAAAATAATTGTAAGAACATATTTTTCTATGATAGATCCCATTATTTTTGGCCATACCTTCGCGTCGCCAAGTAACTCCCAGCGTGGATGGAAGAAAAATTGGAGGCCCTTATCGGCACCTTCAAGGGTGAGGGAGCGTGTAAGGAAGACGACAATTAGAAGAAAAGGTAGTGTTGCCGTGAGGTACCTTACTTGTGCAGATGATTTGATTGATTTCCAAATCGAGAAGTATACCATGATCCAGGCTGTTATCAGACAAGCTACCAGTTCCCATCTCAGTACTCCAGGTTCCTCAATGCCATTACTTATTTGAAGGACTTTGTTACTGCAAATTAGAAAAAGAAAAAAAAAAAAAAGAAGAAGAAATGTTTATTCGTTGTCTCAAGAGAGAAAAAGAAAGCGAAAGCATTTTAATGAAAGATTTACGCGCGTTTGCTCGGAAATTACTCGAAAAAATCTTCGGAAGGTGTCTTTGATGCATTGAGCCTAGTTCGATTATCGACGATACCATTGGCTGGTAACCAACAAGCTGCTGTGTTCCACGAATTATTACAATCTGACCATGGCTGATGAGCTCTGAATGCAGCGAAAAAATAATATATCGCGTATGCTATGATCACGTTGTGATAGGTCGACATTAGAAAAGATATCACCACTGATGACAGTCCAGCTCCTATAGAAATTAAACAAAAGAAAAAAAACAACAAATATGTGAAAATATTCTTATTGTTAGATAAGTAAAGTAAGTTACCAAGCCTCGATCGAGTTTAATATCGTTAATTAGCTGGGTCAAATTAATGTGACAGCTTTTACACTCATTCTTTGTCCACGTTTTAACGAATTTAACTTCGTTGAGATCAAACGTCAAGTTTTTCGTAATCGTTCTAAATTCCTTTTAACGATTACAATACACAATTGTATTTTATAATTATTTGTTATTATATTTATCAAACCTACCTTTGAGAAGCGGACATATTTGACCAAGGGCACCGATTGGCCCTCGTCTTGTAAATTGTCCTATGCTTAATTCCATGTACAATAAAGGTACTCCGCAAACTACGAGTATTAGGAAGTAAGGTACCAGAAATACCCCTGTAAAATGAATTTTATTCACAATTAATGAAACATTCAATTTTCTATTTATCGTATTTAATTAATTTATGAAAAACTTAACAAGATTCAACGTCGGTTGCATTTCATTTTTAATTTAACCAATTTAAATAACATCTATTATAGCAAACGTTAAAAGATTTTCTATTGGTCAACTTAAGAATCAGATTAATCAGGTAACTGGTATTAAATCTGTACGATGGATTTATTAAAAGCTTCGTTAAAGCAACTCGTACTTAATGCTACTCTACGTTAATCGTCGCATTGTGGGTAGTTTCAAGGTCACTGGATATAACTCTTTATTCGTAATAAACGATGATCACTGTTACGGATTACAATTTAATTCAGGAAAGAAGAGTCTAGAGCAGCACTGTCCAATCGGCGGCCCGTCAAGCAAATCAATTCTTTTAATAAAGATATAAATAAATATTTATGCCAAACTAAATAAATAATTCAAACGAAAAGGAATGATTTAACTGTTTTTTCTATTTCTATATGTAGGTTTACTTTTTTCTCCAAAACAGTTACAGCTCGGTTGTCCTATTGTAAACAAGTCGGATTTAACACGTGCCTCGTAAGAATATTAAATTAATATTTGAACGATTTTATATTAATTATTCATTATTCATTATTATCGTTCGTTCATTCGTTTGAGAATTCCTTTTTCGAAGAATCATACAAATTTATCCGTGGTAAACGAACCTTATCACGAAGAGATGCACGTTCAAAGTGTTATCTCGTGGAAAATACATTTTTCATGATGAATTTAATTCGCGATTCAAAGAAATAAGTGCAATACTTTAGAAATAAATCATTGTCTAACATTTTTTTTTTTTCTACAATCATTCCAAATGTTCTGATCCTGATCTTTCAATGAGATAAACGTGAGAAATGAAAATGACTCGTCAAAGAGCTCATAAACACAAGTGAAGGATGCTAATTATAAACGTAAGAGTTTAGATCATGTAAACGTTTCACGTAGATTTGCAAGACCGAATCTTGTATGTTGGATTAATTCCTTTTTAAACGTGATATCCGAGAGCTTGAAAGACAGACAAAGAGAGAGAAAGAGAGAGAGATAGAGAGAGAGAGAGAGAGCATAGTTATTGTTCCTCTACGATGCAAATCAGTCCGCGGCATCCGATCTCATTTTCCGGTTGCACGTCTCTCTCAATTCGAACGTATGATGAGAGACTCGAACGAAATTATACTCTAGGTCCGATTATTTTCCACCGGTGTCATTGAAATCATTTACGGTGGTACGCTCCTCCGGTGTAACCGAGTTCTAGCAAGGTCATGTATCAAGTTCCGAGAGAACGAATTGCGCCACTGCGTCCGGAGGCCGAGTGCTCTTTCAGACTGAAGAAGATTATCCGCAACAAGATACACCTAAGTGCACGGTTACTTTAAGGGTATTTCAAAGTATCTATATATATATTTGTACAAATGTGTCGCAAATATATATGACAACAAGTTTGTTTCAAATTCCCTGGCCTCGAATTTTCATCTAACATAAGTCTCACTTAAAACATGTTCTATGATAAACACGCAAAACACATTCTATGTATGTACATACCTCCTCCCCACTCTGTTCAAATAATACTGCCTTCATAACAGCTTTTTAACTCTCGTTGACGTAACATTGTGCATATATGTGCATATATATATATATACGATTAGATTTTGTAATAATACTTTGTATTCACTACAGATATAATTTTGCGTTACTCATGAACCTGGAATGGAACTCCGTTTAATTACCCGGAACCGTGGAATGCTCAAGAGATAATGAATAAAAAGTACAATCTGCGAAGTTGGTTGGATTCATTCATATTTTCAGCAAGCAACGATTGACTTACGAAAAAACTCCAAAATAAAATATTACTTTCAAATATTACTACCTATACTCGCGTTAAGACGTAATCTTCACCTTGAATAGATAAGGAATAAAAAGAATGATCATTTTTTCATCAGGTTAGAAAATTATACTCGATTCTCATCTCACACACATCCGTTTACTTTGACACAATTTTTTTGCAATCCTAATCTCTCAACGTACGTATCTCGTAATCCCTTTGGTAGCGTTTTATGTTCTTTAGATTTGTTATCTTTGAAAAGTAGATAAAACAAATTCAAATCAAAAACAAAGAGGATAATGATTCTAAGAAATACGTAAAACTTACGATGCTTTGAAGAGATCTCAGGTGTTCAAGTGACGTATTTAGCACAATTGATGATGCGACAAATAAATAAACGCATCTTTCTCTTATCGCCGTGACTCTAATCACGCACGAAAGATACGTGACGACACAAGGAGAGTTTATTTGACGTAGGCGAATCTGTTTTTGGATCTTTCAAATGACGTAACGATAATCTACTAAAAGGTTTTCACACGAGATAAGTACAATATTTGGGTTTAATGTGCGCGTGTGTATTCTATTTATTTACTTTTAGTTTATTTGTGTTCATTTTCTTTTATTTGACTATACTATACAATATATATTACCCCGTACTATAGTATAATAATAAAATGTAGTAAAAGAATAATAAAACATAATAAATAAAAAGTAACTATACATAATACATATTTAAAATATATATTTTAATTATATAATATTATAGTATAGTAATATGCAAATAATATATATTTATTTAGAAAATATTATAATATATACTCACCACCACCACTTTTGTAGCACAAATAAGGAAACCTCCAAACATTTCCTAGGCCAACCGAGTATCCGATACAAGCAAGGACGAATTGAACTTTATTAGCCCAATGTGGTCTTCTGGGTTGTCGATAATCTCCAGGATCGTCGCCATCGCCATCGTCGTAACTTGTACAAGTGGATAGATCATCTTCGATGGAGCTGAACAAACGAACGTGACAGTTTCGAGTCAACGTTGACAATAAATAGGATCTCAAGTAAATGCAGAGTATGTAGAATTATATGTAATATATCGACATGTGCTTTTCATTATTCTAGAAAAAGAAGGTCTCTCCCATAATATTACACGTGATCAATATTTTCTTGACTAATAATGTCATTGCAGCGTAGCCATTTAATCGTAAGTTTCAAATCCAGGACAAGGTAATTGTTTGGCTCTCTGTTTCTTTCTCGATGTTCATTGTAACGCGATAAAAAAAATGAACTATTGCATTTACTTGTTCATTCGTTCATCATTCATTCATTTATTTATTCTTGTTCTCACTAGCGAGCTTTAATTGATTCAGCGTTACAATGTTCTATTATCATTAGTAAGTAGGTGTACCGTGTAAGAATAAAATTGATTCGCGTGAGAATATCAGGTTGCAAGCCACGCAAATGTCATTAAATACGTCCCGGATTAACATGCGACACGCGAGTAACAATCGTTCCTTCGATTTCTTTTGTATTCAAAAACTCTTTTCATGTTTACAATAATCCTAGAATTAGGAATGCAATATTACTATTCAAAGAAAATTAACATATCACAATGCTCGAATTATAATTAGCTTGCATATGATCCATAGCTCGCATTACATATATCCTGCGTACAAATTGAAATTAAATCTTCTTTAAATTAATTGAAAAATAATGATTTCTATATAGAATGACGCAAATCATTAAAGAAAAATGAAGGACAGTTTTGTGCAAAGGAACGAAAGATTTCAACATTTCGCAGGTCAAAAAATTCGCGGCATAAACGAGTTTGTTTGTCTACCTCCCTCCCTCTTACTTTCGAGGAATTTCTCGTATGAAGAGGAAAGCCTTGTTAAAGGGTAAGTAGATCGAGTAGGATCAATTAAGTAGAGAAACGCGTTCCGTCCTATGACCTTGTCACTCGATATACCTAGATCGGAGTATCTAACAATAAGTGTGAACAAAAATTCGTCAGAGTTTTTTTGTTCCTTTTTTTACAAGCCCTCTTTCGAATGATTATTATTTATAATACTGATTGTAAGCGCGAACAGGCGCGGAATGTTAGAGCTTAAATGATGAACGAGGACTCGTACGATGATCATATACACTCGACACTTCAAGAGAAACTGTTTTAAATGTATATAACATTAATGAATCTATACATCCACATGTAGCACACTTGAGTATACATACACACTATCTCGAGCACATATGTTTTATAATCGACAATTTATACTTATCGTGGGATGATGAGCATGCATCTCATACGTGAACGTGCATATGATAACATAAGTAAGTACATTAATTAATCATGTATTATCGATATGAAACGTAAAAATATTCCATAAGTGTTAAGTAAGTATATACGTTCTAACAAGCAACTCATCAATCTTACAACGAAGAATTGAAAATTCTTTCAATATCTATGGCCTACGCGAGCGAACGTAGGAAGTTCTGTGGATATTTCTTGTTTAAGAAAAAGAAGAAAAAAAAATAGACAGCAAAAGTCGTGAACATAAGTAAAAAGAATTTGAAAAGGAAAAACATGACACCGCTTTAAATAGCGTACCATCATTTACAATGAAAGAAGCAGGACAGCTACCAACAATGTACACCTACTTACAACAAAAGTACGGGGCTTACATTGTACACCTATTATCCACTTACGTCTCTGGGACAATACGGCGGAATTGCAGTCCCTGGATGACGAGACCACGCTTCACTAGTAGTTCAGAATGACACCTCATCTATCTATCTTTCTCTATCTTTCTTTCTCTTTTTCGTCCTCGCTGAATTTCTAATTAACATTAATTGTAAGATAAGCACACAACAGAGTTTTTTGTGAGTTTGATTTGTAATTATCTCAAAAAAGAGAAGAAGATTTTTCTCTGTCTTTTTCTTTCAATCGTTCTCTCCACTCTTTTATCTCGTAATAAACGTAACGCGACGTTTATTGCGTTTCTCTTCCTTGGCGAATGCAATAAACATTCATTAATCGCTATATTGTTTACTTTAACTGCTATTTTCTCTCAGCGTAACAACGTGACAAATATGAAAGTTAATATGTATATGTGCATATGTAAATACATTCGAAGTTTAAATCATAATTCTTAGGTAAACACGCGTAAGAAGAAGTAACTAACGAAGTACTACAGAAAACTTTCAAAGAGAATCGTATAATGTCGTGTCGAAGATGTACGAGTACGGAATCGTGCTAAGCACACACGTTGCCTAGAAATTCCAATTTTAAACTGACATACGAATATCAAGAAGTGATCTTATTTTAATGCCAACCTGCCCTCACTAATATTTATTCGACGCGTTAACGAGTGGCCGCGAAAATTCTCGTGACATTCGCACTTCTCCTCGTTCCCCTTATTTTTTCCCTTTTTACTCCTCTTTTATATTTGTACGATAAATTGGTGTTATCGTATTTTCTTTTGATTTTTACATCTTATCTTCGAAGATAAATCATACATTTTAATCGATACATAAGTTGCATAATTGGATATCGCTCAAGATCATCTTTTTGTCACTATAGTAACAAAATTGATATAAAATTATTTTGCGCGTAGGCACTCCCAAAGAATTATTTTAAAAATATTATTTATATATGACTCTTCGGAAGAAACGTAATATTTATTTAGAATAGATAATCATTTATACTTAAATCGACGTATGCACTAAATTAAAAACACCAACGATGGCGTTTAACTCGATGCTTTCGTAAGCATGACAGCAGGTTGATGCTCCGTTGAAAAGAAGAAGAAAAAACAGTAAAAGAATGTGACATCTTTATGATAGGGACGTATTTTTCATGGACAATGAACCACACACACACACATGCAATCAAGATAGGTTATTTAGCGATCTCGAATATGACGTGCTTCAATTTTCATACGAATCTCGATTCCGTATTTTATCTGACAATGAGAAAATTGTTAATGAAATATTACAAGTGAATTTTTAAATAACAAAGAAAGTTTTACATTCGATATTTTGAAACATTCAACTGGACAAATATCACGTGTTAAGAGCAATAAACGACATGCATTATGAGGATCTTATTTTTGTGTTAAAACACATTCAAATTCAAATATTATTTGGCATAAGCTATTATAAAAAAAACACCGAGGATTGGTGTCAGCAGGTTAAAATAAAGAACTTTATGCACTTTTTCCAATATTCAAATTAACTCCGCAACTTTCTGAAATTCTTCCAAAGCTTTTATCGAACCACGTTGACATTATTTTTTATTTTGTGGAAATTAAATTCTAAAACTGCATAATAAAATATATAGCCGCATATCAGATTCTTACGTGCACCCATAGTATTGTGCCAATCGTTATGACGGTGGACTAACGATAGATTACAAAATAAATGATATGATTTATTTTATAATATAAATAATTGTTATGCTTAATGCACACTGTCATGATTACCGGCACAATTGTGTTATATAGAAAAGTTGAGATTACACTCCTAGAATCACTCGGAGTTTTAACTAAGCCGTTCACAGATGAAAGCGATTAACTTCGCTTATCGAATTATTGAAAAATACTTATCTTTTTATATTTATAAAATAAACGTCCTTAAATAATAAGGCTTTAACACTACTAAATGAGAAAAATTTGGTGGCCATTCGATAATGATTACTTTATCGATTTCCTCTATTTTTTCTTTTGTGGAGAAAAGAAAATAGATCTTGATTCATATCGAAAATCTCGCGAAGATGTTAGGATAGCAAGAGGATCGTAGGTAATGTGTTCACTTACGGCGGCGGATGTACCAAGTTAAGGAGCTCCGACGGCGAAGTGGGAACTCTACGTATCGTGAGCTTCCGCCCATCAGAAGAGCCCATGCCGATCGATGCTAGAGAGCGTATGGAGACGGAATCGGTGAATGGACGACCAACCTGGCCGTTGGCATCGGAGAAAACGATCGAAGCCCAGCTGGCAGCTGGTGGTTGATGTTGATGGTAATGATGATGGTGTTCGTCCATCGTGGCGTTTGATTTCAACGAACGCATACTGGGGTAACGATGATGACGAGCAACGTGATGATCGATCCCACGAGTGCTTCTTCCTGACTGTTCACTCGGTCTGCACAAAAAATATTCATTCTTCTTCTTCTTCTTCTTTCCTACTGGATCAACGTTGTATTATGTCATTAGGCAAATACACTTTACAGAATTCCAAAATAAATAACGATAGACTCGTATCACTTTAATGATGATTTATCTGGAATACTTTTTTGAAGAAAACAAATGTAGTCATTAATAGTTAAGAGAAGATGTATTTTACATGATCGGTCTTGATTGATGAAGCTTTGTTTGGGACTTGTCGTGGACACTGTCGGTACTGCCGCTATGTCCGCTAGAACCTAATCTGAGTTCGGGATCGTATCCAGTGAGAATCTTGCCGGCTTGGCTGATCCTGGCCTTCCTGGAAGAGCCAGCGGAACTCAAGAGTCGACCCCTCTCCTCGCACGGTGAATCTGAATCGACGTCTTGCTGCGACTCTCGATGATGACCATGAGTAAGGTGATTATGCTGATTCTGATGATGATGATTATGATTACGATTATGATTACGATTATGATTATGTTGCTGCTGCTGCTGTTGCTGAGCACTTTTAACGACATCCGGATCGAGGTCGTCCGAACCATCCTCTTCTTCAGGCATAGTGCTCATCTTCCGTACACTTTGTAAACGTCCGTTGTTAACGTGTTGTTGTTTAGCTAGTTGGCAATTTTTATTGTTGCCAACGTCGGTAATCGTCACAGGACCACCGTTGCTGTGGCTGCTACTAGTGCCGCTACCGTTACTACCGCTGCTGATGTCCATAATAGCATGACTCTCAGGTAGATTCTAGTCGTTATGAGCGTATCAACCCTGAAACACTAAGGTGGATGAACCGCTTGAGCGAATTACGTCCGGTATCTACGTTCCACGTGCAAGTTTAACTTGCCTTCTCCTTCTTTCTCTCTCTCTTTTTCTCTTACAATCATAATCAAAGGAGGATCGGGTTATACTTGCTGCGTATTTAGAAATAAGAGCGATATCGTTTTATCTTTTCTAAACGTGTACTAAAATTATTCGAGTATTTATAAAATTATCAAAATTACGTAAAACTCGTCAAAAAGTTATTTTTTCTGATTCTCTGCACGATAAAATAATTATCGATCAATGGAGTCTAAAAATGAGACTGAACAAAAATACGTAACGTTTTAATGTTATAAGCTATTTGCTCTTTATCTAATTATAAGAAAGTCTAAAGCCAGTTCTCGTAATACAAGATACGACATATTTATCTCATATCGGTTAAATACAAAAATATTATATATGTATGTATGTCAATATATACTTTTCACATAGAAAATCAAGAAAGAGTATAGATACTTGTTAAAAGTCGATAAATTGTGATAACGTTATTATGTATGATATATCGTATCAATATATTAACGGGATTATCGACGTGTCAAAATATTGATCGATCCTCCTCCAACTATCAAGATCGAAAAAAAAGACGATCAATCCGTGAAAAAATATCGTGTCTAAATATTTAAGTCAATTTTCTTTCGAATATAACGTTGTACTTCCATGTATCGTTAAAATATCGTTAAAACATCTCTCTTTCAACGAGATCAAAATGTTTAATTTGAACGTAATCCTTTAATGGATTTTACATTATGATAGAAAACGTTTAGCGTTAGATTGCAAGTTATGAAACATTATGATATTCAAGAAAAAAAAAAAATAAGAGGAAAATGATATGTAACGAGTTAAGGAGTATATCCATTAGTAATACTTTCTTCTTTTTTATTCTTTTTCACCTTAGATGATGAACAATATTTCTCGAGATATTAAAGAAAAAATGCATTGTTTTTAATAAAAATATTTATACGTTATTAAGATTATAGATGTGATAGAATTTTCTTTAAAAAATTTCAAAATTTATTAATATTTGTAGAGATCAGAATTCCTAGAAAAATATTTATAAAATCGATGATCCACGTTAATACTCTTCGATCTTTTAACAAACTGATGAAAATATTTGCAAAAGAAAAGAATATCAAAAATCCTATGGTCGATAAAATTTCTTTTAAGTTATATTCGAACCGATCCGCACCCACGACTCGACACCTATCGAGTCCTATCACCGTGGGTCAAAACAACGAGGGGAAGGTCGATTCATATGGCCGGCTAATAAAAACGTCAAAAAATTAGGGGACCATCGAAGAAAAACATTATAAGATACGACAAACATATGTAATTGTTAAAATTGAAAGAATGATAGAGATAGATAGAGAGAGAGAGAGAGAGAGAAAGAGAGAGATGCTCCTTACGTGGAACGCCGTAGATGAAATCGTGTTATCAGGTGGAATACCTGTCACATCGTAAGAGGCCTCGACCGGATTAAGTGCATTCCAATAGCGCGACTGAAACCCATGAGTGCCTTCTCTCTCACGAAGGTAGAGATAACATTTACTCGTACGTCTAGAGAGCGAGAGAGAAAGGCAAAAAAAGAGAAAGAAAAAAAGGAAAAAAGAAAAATAGAGAAAGAAAAAGACGTATGTAAGTGGTAAGAAAGAGAAAGAAAGAAAGAAAGAGATAGTTGGTCGTTGAGGCTGGGCACACAAACACGTGTGCGTCGGCACGAGATAATTAATAAAAAAGAAAAACACTTTCGAATAGCGCCGCGAGAGAACGTCCGTGGCGAGAGCGAATTTCCGGTGTGGGTGTAGATAGGATCCAAGGGGAACAAATGAAAAGGATCGTATACGAATTGTTAAAGTGAAAAATCAAAGAAAAAATAAGAGGAGAGGAAGGGAAAAAGGAAGGAAAGAACAAAATAAAAGATAGGATGAGTTGAAAGGCAATCTTACACGTTGGTTGACACACACGACAACGTCGCGCGACGTTGTGTGCGCGCCGATCGCGTGCCGCGACTCGCGAAAGCGGGCGCGAGCGCGAACGCGAATACAATACATTGAACGCGCAAGCGCGTACGAAACACGGTTGCGCAGAACGTTACCGATAATCAGCCGAACAAGAGCCGAACGCTCAGAGTCGATCCGATCGCTCCCGACTCTAATCGGATATCGCCGAGCGATTACGCCTGAATACTTTACATATAAACAATCGTAATCGAAGCTGTTCAATCTAAAATAGTTATGATATTTGAAGTAATCGTAAACTCATTGTACCTTTCAATGTAACATTGCTATAATTATCATCGATTTTTCTGAATGCATTGATGATCGTAATTATTGTAACGTAAAACGATATACATAACAAAATAAGATAAACCATTGAATGTAAGATACAATTATAATTTATAAATGTACATTTACAAGGCTTATAGTTAATTATAATTTTAATATTAAAATAAGCTTACGTAACACTATTTTGAATATTGAAGGGTCATTTTAAACCCAACATTATCAATTACTTAACAAGTTTGAAAACACATTTATGTAACTTTTAAATGATTGTACAAAGATAAATTCATCTATTACTATACAGCAAATAAACTACACTCTATATATGATAATGTTCACAATATTATTCATCATTCTTTTTAATCCATTTAGGATAAGCAAATTCAGAATGATATCCAATCGATACTCATATAGAGAGGTACGTTTTTATAATTACAAGATCAATTACTACGATTTGCATTCTTTTATCTCCATATTTAAGTAACAACTAATGCTTAAAATCTAAAATTCTATGAATATAAAGCAAGTCACATGAAAAATAATAAAACATAAAGTAATAAATTATGTAAACGAATAAATATATATATTTTTGTATATATATTGATGTATGTATGTGTTGTGTGTATGCACATATATATATATATATATATATACACACACATCGTATGAGGGCGTGTATATACACGTGTATATATATATATATATATACACACACACACACACACACGATTAATACGAAACAGGTATCCAATCTATGAAGTAACAGGGATTCCTTTCTCAGACATAGATAACTTTGGCTCGTTTTGTATGCCAGGAAAACAGAAAATGGTGTCAATATGTGCATAATATATTAATCAAGAAGTCAAATCATGCATCATATTGGGGTCTTCCAGTGCTGGTAATGGTAGTTCATTTCTTTCTTCTTCAGTTCTAACATCCGACATTTTTAGGAACTTAATCACCTTTTCAGTAGCTGCTATTCCACAACTACTTACTTCATTCTGTTATAAAATAGACAAATAAACAAAATGTTTTAACAATTAGTGATAAATGATATTATTAAGTATAATATATAAAATGAAATGATGGATAAATAATTACCGATGCTGTTAAATTCATAAAATTGAAAAACTTTTGAAGTACAGATACCATTGTGGAAAAGTTGTTATCTGGGAGTCTACTACGTACCAGTGACTCGTAATCCTAAAAGATATCATAGTATCTTAACATGACAATATCTTATCTTATTCCGTAATCTACTTTTGTTAATGTACTATATCTCTACTGAAGTATAAATCAAGCAATTTTTACCTTGTTATCCATTATTAAGTATCCAAGTAAGAGAACAACATATGCACCTATTAAAGTATGTTCCATGTGACGTCCAGCCTTTTGCAATACTAAAAAACGAGAACAATTAATATAATAATTAAATTTATATAAATACATTTTATATACTATTAAGAAATACATATACGAACATTTGGTAACAGTTTCTTCGATAAATTCTTCCTGGGATTTTGTTGTTGTTGATACCGTTTCTGTTTGCTCTGAATCTTTTTTACCATCCAAAATTGCATCGGTTTTTTGTTCTTCAGCTCGTGCCAGTTCCTCTTGTTTATAAAAGAGATCTATCAAAGACTCTACACCACTTTCTTCAGCTATGAAAACAATTTTATTAACAAATATTATTTTACATTTTCGGTAAACATATATATTTAAATAATATGTATTCGCATAGTGCTTGTACAAAATACATACCATCAAAAATATTTTCTGTAGATGGAGGAGCCTTTGACTCAATAAGAAGTTGTTTATTATCATCACATTGTTCAACTAAATTTATTAAAAGAATTAATGCCAACATCATCATATCAAATCGTTTTTCTTCCGGTAGTGATTCTGGCACGCGTAATAAAAGGTACAAACTACAATCAACTACACCACTTTGAGATCCCACTAATTTGCTTCCAGAAGCTGTAAAAAAGTAAATATAATTATAACAATAAATAAAACCAATCTCATTACACTAGAAAATAAAAATTATAGAAAATTCAATAAGCTTACATTGTCGATTGAATCGATGAGTGAGGTTTATGAGAACTTTGATAATAGCAAAAAGACACTCTCTGACAACAGCACCAGTTGAGCTTTTATCACTTGTATCTGTAGTCGGATAAATGGGAATCTCTTGTCTACATAGGTTATAAAGACTTGCTAAAGTACTTACTAATACACCATCGCCATATTTCAACAAATATACTTGATTCTCTTCATTCATATGTGTAACCTAATTATAAATATAATATACATTATCAATAATATAAAATATATACATCAGATTAAATAACACTTAGTATAATTCGCATTATAATTTATAATAGGTGGTCCTTACGTTTTCTAATACACGTAAACATCTGTCAACTTTACGTAATTTATCTAATAATGGTTCTGTCCAACGAGCTCTTGTAACATCATGCACATTAATGTGACGGTGACATTCCCTGATTGTTTTTACAATATGCTCTAAGCCTCCTAATTCTCGGAGTTCTTCTTTAAACCACTCTCCTGCACGTTTAGATGTAAGACTGAGAAGTGTCTCCATAGCTAATTGCCCAACCTACACATAGATAAATTAATTTAATATATTTTATTTTTATTTAAAATTAATTGATATAGATTAATAATAGTAACGTATAAATTACTTACAGTAATATTATCCAAATTTAAATGTTTAGCATGCCCTTGAGCTTGAATATCAGCACACAACTGTCGTACTTTTTCCTTATTTTTTAATAATTCAGCCCTACTAAGGCCACAATCGTCAAGCGCATCTTTATGACTGGCATCAGATTCTAATAAACTTAACATTAGTTCTAAGCAATCTCGATCTAAATCCATCGCTAAACGGTCTTGACTTAACACAAACATTACAGTCGCTGTACACAGACCAAGACTCTAATCGTAACACAAAATAATATTAAAAATTATCCATTTTTTAGGATATTAAAATAGTAAATAAGAAACATACTTGATCTTTAGTGGCATCGTGTAGTGCTTTAAAGAATTTGGCAACAGTTCCATGAGCACGTACATGCATACGAAAGGCTGGAGCCATGCATTTACTTGCTAAGCGTATAGCTGAAAGGCAACGTGTAGCATTTGGATTATTTTCTCTTAAAGTATCCAATATATATTCAACGTCATCATTAAACTCCTGAAATTCTCCACTTTCTTGAATCTGATGGGCCTTTTTCACATTCTTTACTACAGTGTAAAACTAAAAAAATATTTTATCATCATCAATAAATCTTAATACGAATAAGTTTTATTACCTTGATATAACGTGTGTGACTTTAAATATTTATATAATATATACTTACACCTTTAACTTTTCTGCAACAACGAACACTCGTAACAGCTTCAGAATCATCTGTAAAATCAACATCAGTTTCAGGATAAGTCACAACTCTTGTAAGTTGAGAAGGCTCAAATTCTCCCGCGTATGCTTCAGATCCAACGGCACTGTGTGATCCTGAAGCAGTAGTCGGAATAACATTTCCAATATTAGGTGCATCTGTTGTACTAGATTCTTTATCACTATCGCACCACTTGTGTTTATACAATGCACGTCTTTTATTTCCATTTGTTGTTCCTGTTGAACGACTTTTAAAAATACTACCTTTTTTAGTAACAGGTTTGGATGGTACATTAGTTGCAGGAGTATTTAAAGTTTGTGATTCTGAAACTGTACTTGTTACATGCAAAGGCATTTCATTTTCAACATTGCCACTCACACCTTCGCTATCATCGCTACCTGAAAACCAATCCTGATCAACTAATGTCTTGGCTGCTGCAGTTTCAGAATCAGCTACATGAGCAGATGATTCCAATTCTACTTCAGGATCTGGTTCCGCCTCAGTTTCAGCTTCTGGTTCTAATTCTTGTTCTATTTCTGCTTCTGTTTCTTTCTCTAGTTGTCTATTAGTTTCAGGTATCACTTCGTTTGTAGGTAAATCTATAGAACAATGTTGAACTTCGTCCGAAGTAATTTCAGAGTTATCTTCAACTTCAGGGACATTTAAGATCATTGGTCTTGTTTGCATAGGATCTGCATCACTCGAAAGAATATCGATAAGCTCTTGAGTCGTAGTTGGCAGTGGTTGGTCTCGTCCAATTAAAGGTTCTATTGTTGGTTTACATGGATAAGTTGAACTACAATCAGTCTTAACAATATCATAATGGGATATAAGAGTGTTATTGGAAAAATCTGTAACAGATTTTCTAAGAGTTAAGGAGAGTCCAGAACTATGTGTATTTGAAGTAGCTGACGCTGTAGTGACAGCAGAAGAGCCTGTTATGTCCAGATGTAAATTTTTTGCACGACTACGCGTCGTTCGTCGCATATCAGAATTTTCTAATGGTATTGATACTGTAGATACAATAGGTTGTTGAGAACGAGTTGTCTTAAGATCTGTTTTGATTGATGGTTCTATGTTACTTTTACGTTCAATATCTATTTTAGTGGGACTAGTAAGAGGTGTAGAAATTCTATAAGTTTCAGGCTCTGGATCCTGATTATTCTGCACATCTCCGCATACTAATCTTGCAGTACCCTTACATATTCTTAAGACAATGGGAGGCTTTCCTTCTTCTCTATTTGATATTTCATTGCCAGTATTATCTATAATCTCCGATACTTTCTTTGCAGGAGTATGCATTGGTTTTGGTAAGGGCTGTTTTGGCAGGGACTGTTGAGGCTGCTTTTGAGCACGTGCTCTACCATATTGAGAATCAGGTACTTGTTTGTATATTGCCACATCTTGGCGAGATTCTTCTACTACCGGTGGTACATTTCTACTCTTAAAAAATTTCTTCGGCTTTGCAACTGCCTGCGTAGTTTCTGTTTTACTAGCTGGATCAATTTCAAATGAAAAGGGATCTTTTCCAGAACTCACGCGTGCGTTCTGATTACTATAATCAATTTTCATCCTTTTTGCACCAAATGAATTGTGAGTATTATCTCTTCTTCCTATACATGAATAAAAAATATAATTTACATATTCAATATTCTTCTTACTACATCCAATTAATACTTGTATTATTTAAATTGCAAAAAATATAATCAATACTAATCACTTATAACCAAAATTGTTATATTTTAAAAAGAATTTATAATCCTATATATAAACACACACACAAGATAGAATACCCAATGTGCACATTTAAAAAAATTATATATGATAGTTAATTTAAGTTATTTCAAATATACGTGTTATGTTGCATATATACATATATATAT